ACTTGAGTCAGCTGGCAATGGAGGTAAAATAATATATATATCAAAAATAATTAATAGTTTACGAAATATGACTTTGAAGAAGTGTTGAATAATCCCTTCGAACAATGTTTTTTTGATTAGCATATATATTTTGTTTAATATTCTTTGATTTTTAAAAGAATATTAAACAAAATATATAATAAAATAAATAATAATAATATATAATAAACAAAATATATAATAAAATAAAATAAATAATAAAATTATTTCCAATAATTTTCTAGACAAAGTATTTGATTTTTTTTTTCGTGTATTTAAATGTATTGGAAAAATTGAGAAGTAGTAATTTTTGACTTATAAGTGAATCTTGAAAAGATTCGAAAAATTTTTTTCCGAGGAAAAAAACTTCCAACGAAACTGGTTATGGATATGCCACAAAATTTTATTGAATATATTGAAAGGTATAGAAAATAGGTCTCTACAGAGCGGGAATTTTTTTTTGCAAACTGTTGAGATGTAACACATTTTAATTCGTGCAGAAATTGTACTAGCACAGCGTATTTATAGATGAACTAGTATAAGTAGAGATTAATTATTTGTAAATCATCCTTGAAAAATCTCGAATATTTTTTGTTATTATAATGAACATATGTAAAATGAAGATTCTTTTTTAATTTTTAGGTGTTGTTTGGCGTATTAAATGTACAGATTCAGCGTTAGTATGTGCAGCTGGCAGTCGTAACAGCACAGAAGATACCAAAGTGATCATGCTTGATTTCGATCGCACAACGATCTGTTCATAGTGTTATATGTGTTCTATTGTCTTTAATTCTGTGTCTTTTAAAACGTTTGTCTAATTCTCATGTTTGTTGTCTCTGTTGTTGATTATTCTCTTTTTTTTTCTTCACTTTTCTCAGTGTGCCAACTATTGTCGGTTTTTCCTTCTTCTCTTTCGTTTTTTTTTTTCATTGTTCTACTGGATTTCTTTTTCTTTCTTTTATATATATACATATATTATTATTAACTCGATGCACACTATCCCTCTTATATCACGTCTTCATCCCATTAGTAAGAGAAGAAGCACGCGACAAAAACATATATATATGTGTATGAAAAAAAAAAACCAAACAGAAACAAAAATAAACTTCATCTAGTTTTTTTTTTGATCTCTAGAAAATAAATAATAAAAAAAAAAAATGGCTTTTACATTAGACGAATATCATCAATGTATACTTGATCTGTATGAACAATCAAAAAAATTTCATGATCGATGGCAATTAATTGAAACAACAAAAGGATCATATTTAATTTATTCATTTATTGATAATAGTTGTTTAAAATATGAGTTTCATATTGTATTTAGTGAAAGTTATTCTGTACCTGTACTATATTTTAATATAAATCATTTAGATGGTTCATTATTATCATTAGATGATATATGGAAATTATTTATACATAAAAAAAATTCTAATATGTATGAAACAATAACACAACAAGAACATCCAATACTTCATCGACCATTTTTTGTACTACATCCTTGTCATACAGAAAATGTGTTAAGAAAAGTAGCAGATCAATCAATAAAAAAACGATTTCTATTGTGGCTTTCAATATATGGACAATCAATTGGTTTACCTTTGTCAGTTAAATATGCAATGGATTGAATTTGTTTAGAAATTCTTTTTTGTTTTTTTTTAATAAACAATATTTTTAAGCATATTCCAATCGAAGGTTTTATTATTTTTTCATGAAAAGCTTTAAAAATTTTTTTTTGTTATTCGAATTATATCTTCATTAAATGTTTCATTTCGTTTTGATTCAAAGGATATTTGAGCAAGTTTACTGAAAAAAACATATATTTGAAGTCTAGCAAATTTCTACTAAGAAACAAGTTTTCAATAAACGTAATTTTCATCTAACTCTATAATTCAGCGAGATTATGTGCATTCTGTAGACTCAAATGAGCTATGAATATCCTAAAAAGAATTGTTTTGATTAAAAATATCAAGAAAAAAAAACATTTTCGTCTCTTCTCTTCTCTCTTATATAGACATACACTAAAGCCGAAGGTTCCAGTTCGGTCTGATATGGATAAAACAGTTTAATACTAATCAGTGTATACTAATTCTTATAAATATTTTCACTAAGTGATCTGGCTCTTCTACGATTGTAGCCATTTAGATCGATCAAATGCATAGATACAATCTGTTCTAAGATTCCGTCTTGAATCTGCTATTTATAAGCATGATAGTTAATTGTAGGTTGTGAGCAATCTCAGAAGTAAAAATCAATTTTTTTTTGTATCGAATACGAACCGGAGTTCTGGTTTGATGCATGCCTACTCTTATAGCCAATTACCTTGATCGATTTCCATCTTTTATTCAAAAATGTACGTGGTTCTTCTAGCTTTTTGGTATCGAAATTCAATTAATATTATAATTGATGCGTATGACCTATGTAGAAAATGTTTCAGTTAATATTCACAAAATTTTCATATTTCAGTGATAAACTATAGAGATTTGATTAGTTTACGATAAGGCCACTGAAACATTGTTATTGTTTGTATTATTTATAATAGTATATTTACTTACATTTTCTAATATGTGCTTCTATGAGTATATGCACAAAGATTAGTTTAGGTCATAGAAAACATATGTCGTATAATTATATCCTAATACTTCTTGAATGTTTATCAACATTTATTACGTTTGTATTTTCATGATTTGTATTCGTACGTGATCAAGTCATCAAATAAATGCTGGTCGTTTAGATCTTGATCGTCAATAAACGACGATGATTTTAGATCAACATGTATTTATTACTATTGCTTCCTTATCTTTAACTGTTTTTTATTGTTTATGACTCGAACACAAATAATATAGGCAGAGAAGATTTTACTCTTTATAATCTTGTTGATATAATTATTATTCCATTGTATCTAGTTTGACTAGTATATATTTCAATAAGAACTTTTTAAAATGGTTTACAAAGATTTATCAAAGTTTTCTAATGCTTATTGAAAAATTTCAAAACAAATTATAGTATAATTTAAAAACTCAGATGAGTTTTTATTTTCGAAAACAAAAGAAGAATGTTTGAAGAAAATAATCGATAGTGATTGTGAGAGCCTATCAATTCATGCAATCAAGTTTCTTATTAAGAACTTTATATCCGATAAGTTTCTTTCAGTGAATAAACTAAAAATAAAAGTTATTAAGGCATAGCTGTACTCGACAAACTCTATCTAACGAAATAATGAAATCTGAGCCATGTTCCAAAAAAAAAGAGAAAACTTAGCTTATGTTTCATAAAGAATGGGTTTTATATTTTTCCCTTTAACAAAAGATTTTACGCTTTATTACTTTTGATAGTTTGCCTCAATTCCTAAGTAACTCATGTAGTATATGTTAATTGATATAGAATTATAAGCTCTGTAGAATGATATTTGATTCATGTACATGAAACGAGATCATGTACAATTGAAATATCTAGAAACTTTGATTACTCGACAGAACAATGAATTTTAAGACAGTTATACTGACGATAGTTTGTTTGAAAATATGAAATATCTTCTAATTATATCTCCATTGGTGCAAAATTTTAATCTCTATCCGACAATGTATGAGACATGAAGATAAAATTATCTCAAGAGTAACTATGTTCTTTGGTAACCTCAAAAACATGATTTCAGATCATATTGTGTATAGCGGTGAATAGAGACTAGAGATGTACGGGACAAACAAAACTCAAGGATCATGATCCAAAAAAAGTGCTAGCCGTCGACTAAATAAATCAAAGGACGAGTATTGAAGAATGTTTTTTTTGGATGTGATACGAATAAAGTCTGGAATAGTTTTCTCTAGATCCAGATCGTAATCAAGAAAATCTTGGTCCTGCACATCTCTAATTGAGACAAAGCTTCTAACAAGATAATTTGAACAAGCTTATTATAGAACAGACTATACAGTAATATATGTCTGAATTTGCACATTACGACTAATGAATGATAGCATGCTATAGTTTTTCAGGTGTTGGTAGTACTTCACTAGTAGACATATATTTGGATTTTTAACATCAAGAAGAACGTATTTTCTTCATAATAATTATTATTTAATATGATTTTATACTGAGAAAAATTGTCATGATTTCAATGAGGTCTTCAAATGACATTAATATGTTAGGAAGAACATTTCAATAATGCAAAAGAAAAAAAATAAACTAACGAGATCAACCACCTGAAGAGTTTTCAATATTATCTATTACTTATATGGTAATCTAAGTTTATTTTGAATTAACATGATGCAATGAAAGTTGTTCTTACTATACTTGAAAAAACTATTATATCATGTATGACATAGAGCAAAATCAGTGCAATAACATTCTGTTTATTCTTTGAATATTTTCTCATCATTAGTTTACATTTAAGTATCTAATTGTTATTTTGTTTTAAACGTGAATTAAATGATAAACACAATAATGATTTTTTTTAATTTTATTGCTTTAAACTTCTACAGTATCCTTTATGATATATAAATCGGTCTCCAAAATACAATATTTATCAAAATAAAAGGAAGCTAGATTTTCTAGCACATATTCACCAATATCTTGATTATCTTATACTAGCTCAGTGTTTATACAATTTCAATTTATTAGTCTTATAGAATATAAATAGTAAAATATTTCATTAATGAGTTCGATTGAAAATTATGTTTGATGTATTTTTTGTTTTAATTGTTGCTTTCAACATCAAAAAATTCGTTATCAGTCGGTACAGTTGCAGTTGAACGAGGATAGTTAGCATTATCATTATTGTGTTGATTTCGATCTCTGTAACGATTTCTATTCGAGTGATCATAATTTATTGAATCACGTGATTCATATCCATTACCAATTTCATAATTATCAAATTCTTTCCAAGTATTAATATCTGGACAAAAACGATGTGTTCCTGAATTACGGTAAAGTGGAAATGATGGTTCACATCGTTCCTCTAATAAAAATAAATAATTTTAAAATATAAAATTTATAGAAGAAAATAAATTACCATAATCTTCTCGTGCTTCACGTTTTTGTTCTTCACATTTGGTTGTACCGGGATGAAAAAAAGTTCGTTTTAGAAAACGATTAGCAAGAACTGCGTCTAAATATCAATGAGAATAAAAAGAAATTTATGATAAAATATAGTATATATTTGTTAAGAATTAGGATAGACTCAAGTGTTCGATTCATTGCGTATTAACATTATTATATATAAAGTTTAACAATAAAAAATTATTCAATCTAGAATCATATTCGAAAACAACGACGCAGCAATAAAAATAGAAAGAAAAAGAAATGATGCGCTTATGATATAAGCTGTATTAAAAATGAAGAAGTAATTAGATGATCAATCGATACAATTATATCATCAAGTATGATATTTAAAAAAAAAAAAGCAAAAAGAAAATCTGTCATTCGTCGTCATTAACACTTCGTTTGCCTCCAACACCTGCTGTAATAAGTCCACCAATAACACCTGCAATAACTTTTTCCATACTTATATTTTGTGGCATTAATTTACTCAATGTATCTAAATCAAAACCACCTCCATTTCCAATTTCATATGTATCTAATTCATGCCATTCATTAATATCAGGACAAAAACGATTACTTTTACGATCTCGTTGCCATGGAATCGATGGTTCACATCGTTCTTCTATAGTTATTTTAAAAACAAGGTTTTTATTTGTTCCAAAGGAATAATCGTCTCATACCGTAATCTTCTCGAGCTTCACGTTTTTGCTCTTCACATGCAGTTAGACCTGGATGAAAAACGCCACGTTTTCGACGAAGAAATTCATTTGATGCAGAGCGAGCTATAGCATAGAACAAAGGGTAAAAAACAGAGAGAGTGTGTGTGAGAGAAAGAGATTAATAAGATACTCGATGATTTGGAGGAAAAAAAAAGGATTAATATATTAATAAAAGTTCATAGAAAATATTATAGAAAAAAATGAAAGAAAATTAAATAGTTAGTGTACTTCATATTTAACAAAAGCCGGCCAATTTTTTAATTCTGGACAATAACGCTTTTTTGTTGCATCATTATTCGTTAATTTAATATGAATTGATGGTTCACAGCGTGATTCATAGGCTGCTTTTGCTTCACGTTTTTGTTCTTCACATTTGGTTTTAAATTGTTTATAAACCCGTTTGTCGACGAGAAAGGACAGAGCATTGAGTTCGTCTACATACACACACATATAACAAGCGATACATTTGATTAGAAATTTTTGTTTACAAAACTAAATGCGCAAGCGCAGAAAAAAAGCTCCAACAAAACCTTTCTCTTATGTCAGGAAAAGATAGATATATTTACCTTCTTCGAAATCATCTTGATCAGCAGCTTGAACCCAATTATTGTCGATAATAATAGCCAACATAACGACACAAACAACAACAATTATTGAAATTTTCTTCATTTTTCTATGTAGAAAAACTATGAATATTTCGAAGATAAACAATTTATTAGATATCTACCCCTCTTATAACTTGTTATACTTCTAGAAAAAAAAAGAAATAATACTGAAGCGAATATTCTTCAATCAGTACAAATAGAAAAAGAAACACTGATGATTATTCATATTACTAGTGCCGATTAGTATAAGTGTTGACAAACATATCCTATCTATATCATTCATCTTCTTTATTCAAACGATAAATAATTGTCAGTACTTGATAGACAAACATTTGTGTATTTTTCTTTAGGAGATACTCTTGTATAGAATAAGCACAAAAAAAGAATTTTTCATATCATCGTTATTCTATATTCATACAACATTCAACAATGAACAAGTTCTTGTTTTTCGTGGTTTGTACCACATTGATTTTTGCTTCCGTTTATATGGTTCATGCGGATGATGAAAATGAATATGGTATGTTTTCATTTTCTGTTCAGAAACAATATGATTTTATTTTTACATTGAGTAGCTGCTAATGATGCACAACAATTCTTACAAAAACGTCTTTTTGGTATTCCGTTTCCACGTGAACAACGCCGAGAAGCTAAAGAAAAATATGAAGAACGGTAAATTGAAGAAAAAATTTTCTTTGAATAGTATGTTTATATTGTAGATGTGAACGAGCTTTGGGTATAAATAAAGTCACTGGACTACAACGATGGTGTCCAAAACTTGAAGTAAGAAATGAATTTATTATAAAATAATGTTAATATATGGATTTTTCTATTATTAGGAATGGGACCAATGGCGTGCAGCTACAAGTGGTGATAAACGACGTAAAGGATGAATATTTAAACTTAAATGCTTTTGATTGTAATACTAAACTTTTTATATTGAGCATAAGAAAATAAAAATCGAACTTAAGCAATAAATTTGTCTTAATTCTTTTCTTTTATTGCTACTATTAGTTTCACAACATTACAATATGATATCATTATACATGTATATGGCGTGTGATAGATAGAATTGTGAATTTATCTATCTATAATAGTTCATAGAGTCTCTACACTTGACATTATTCAAAGCTCTTTGAAGCCAAAAGTTAAATTTTATTAGATCTCTACTATGATATGAAACTATAGGATTCTTCATGGAGCTACACGAAGGATTTCGCAATATTTTGGGTAACTCTACTCGACTCTACAAATACGAAGTTTTACAGTGAATAATTATTGAAGTCTAGCGCAAACTAAATTTTTTTGTCGTCTTTTCGAGAATCCCGTTTTTCGACAGAGTCAATGTATTCACATATGAAGTTTACTCTCTCTCTCGAACAAAAAAAGTACCTTGTTCCGATTCATTTTTTCATCACCTAATACGCTGTGTTAAAACAACAAAATACATCCTAAGACTCAGTGTGAAAAGCTCCAAAATTTACAAAGAATAGCTTATTCTATAGTTGCACTTTTTATTCTCAAAATGAACAAAATTCTGTGCGACTAATTTTTGACACACGAACAATTGCTTTTCTTATTGTTTTCGTTAATGAGTTATATCAAAAGTTATATTCCATGGTCGAACAAAAAAATTATCTTTTTCGAAGTGTCAAAAATTAATGGCTCAGAAATTTATCCATTTTGAAAACAAAAAGTGCAATTATAAAATAAGCTGTTCTTGGTATATTGCAGAGCTTTTCATGCTACATCTTGTGGTGTATTTTTTTTTTAATACAGCGTATTAGGTGATGAAAAAAAGAACCGGAAAAAGGTACTTGTTTTTGCTCCAGGGAGACTGGAAAAAGATAAATTGATATCTTTTTTCTGATGACAAAAGAACTAAGCACAAGACATGTATTTGATATTTTTTTATCTAATATCAATCAACAAGAAGTTACAGAATACAAGATAATTTCAAAACAAAGTCCATCTCGTATCTTTTCCTTTTCTACTGAATCATGTGTATAGATAAGAATATTAGACGATTATTGTCATATATAGTAAGCAATAAGTTGTTGATCTATTTCTATGCAACATGATATAGAATTGTACGTATATTGAAGATCAATTTTTCTATCCTGACGATGATTATGAAGGAACATTTAGCTCATCATCACCAACACCAGAAAAATTTGATGAGTTAAATAAATATCTAAAAATGCCAATCAATAAGAAAGGACACAGTCAGATATGATCATAAATCTGCTGCCTCCTTGGTTCTCACTGTCATTAGAAAAAAAGAGATCGACTATGAAATCCTACTGCAAGTGGAATATTAGGAAGTATTAAATCTACGACGTTATCCAGCGATATTCTTTGCCAAAAACGTTTTCTCATACATAATATTCATTAAATCTTAAGATTTTAGATATTTTTTTTAGGATTCAAGAAAAGCTGTGAAAAGAGAATTTGAAGAAAATACTTTTTTTTTCAACTCCTATAAATCTTCAACTCAATAGTAAAAAATTGTTTGACATATTTACTATGCACGTATTATTTCATGATTATTCAACTGAAAATTGTTTAGAAAGGTTTGAATATGTAACGAAGTAGAAAATAAAATAAATGATGGTTTATTATTTTCTAAACATCCAGATATTTATTTCATCGTACAAGTCAGAATGGTGACAGTAATACCTATTATACTATTTTATAGTTTCAATAGTCAATTGTGACTATGACGTTGAATTGTTTTCCTATCGATGATAATCTTGTATTGCATTTTGCCATTCAGCTTTTATTACATGTGATGGAGTTTTATTTGAGTCATCTCGTTTCACATCTGTCAATCACCATAAACATTGATAAAAAAAAAATAAATTGTTATGATTGAATAAGTAACAATATTAAACTCTTCGATACTTTGATTCATAATAACTTTATGTTTACAAACTTCACATTGTAGATTCAAACAAATTCCATCAAGACATAAACGAATAGATGATTGCTGGTTTACAATATCCTTGTAGATTATCAAAGTAGATATCTTATTTAAATGAACTTGATTATACTTGAATTATGTTGGTTAAAAAAACAATAATCTAAAGTCTAATGAATTCTTTTAGAAATGAAACACTGATTATAATTATATAATTATGTATAGAATTAAACACAATCTGTAGAAGCCTTTCGATAAATGTGAGAATCTATTTCTCAACGATCGAACATTCGACTTGAATAGTTTATTGAGTGAAGAAAAATAAAACAACACGAGTAATAGTTGAGTTACTTCAGTTGATCTTTGTAAAACTTGTCAACATCTGGTAAGATTTCACTTGATAGATAAATGTTCGTCTAACGTGACAAATTTTCAGTAAACTTTTTTTTCGACTTATTCCTCTAAGTTTTATTTCAATTCCAGAATGTCGGCTTTTTGAACTCTTCAAACACTATTCTTTTAAATGAAACAAAATTCAAAATTGTATTGCATACCAGTATACAACATGTTTTTTTTAGAAGCAAAAACAGACAGGATTAAAGCTGTTATTTCAAAAGAAACTTAGACATAAATGATGTATGAAATAGATATAAAATAAGTTTCAAATCTTTTATATGTTACATTTTAGATCCAAGTGTATACATCAAGACATTATTTTGATGGTACATAGTACATTTCTGACAGAGAAATTAAAATTAGCATGATTGATGACACATGAAATTTTAACAATGAGCACTATTCGATAAATATCATTATATTTAAGTGTACTAGCAATCAAACAGATCAGAGTCAGACCTATCAAATCAGCTTTAACTTAAAATTTGTAATTAAATCAAGTAAACTGAAATATAGACTTCATTTATTTCATCTTTATTCAACAATTATAATACTTTTTGGTTTTTTCTATATCAGTTGGAGTAAGTTTAACATTCATGTAAGGAATGTGATGCCCTTCATATTTCGGAACTAGTGTTGCTTTTCCATTGTTCGAATAGGAATAATCAGGATAGTGCATAATGGAATAGTAATCGTATGGCATTCCCAATGTGGTAAAGTCATTAGCATTATATTTGTCAAATGCATAGTAGAAACCTAAAAGTTGAAATCAAAGTAAAAGTATGTAGGATTAACATGTGAAATACAATATGTGTGTAGTTTATCATGGGAATAGTATCTCTGTTAACTAATGATTTCATATTTTCTTATTAGTAATAGCGACGTGATAGACTTAAGTTGAGATACTATGTCTGTGATGGTGCCATAATTATGTTTTGCTACGTCTAGGGGAAAGGAAGCGGATCCAAATTTCTAACTCTATATTTCAATGCTCGTTTTAGATTGTATTTAACAAAATTGATTATGAACAAAGATATTCGTATCAAATAAGTCATAGATAATTGATAATTAACTGTCAATAATTTAACAAAATAAAAATATTATCTAATGAATTTTCTTACTCGTATCAATATTTTCCCACTTAATTTCAATATAGTTGTCTCTATCAGGTCTCTGATGTTCATGTCCAAAGCCAATAGCATGACCTAATTCATGGGCGTACTGTCCAACACTCATACATGTTGGCGCATACATTTTCACAAATTGTCGTCCACCTTGTCGACCAACATATGAATAGCAGTAGTTGTTCGTTCCATCGTTAGGCGTCAATTCGAGATAGTCACGATCTTGGCTAGATGCTGAAACAAACCTGATACACGTTTTTGATTCCCATTCTCGAATGGACTCTGCAATTATTGCTCTTTCTTTGTCATTGTACAGCGAACTGATCACATATGGAACTCTTGCATTTGGCCATTTGTATCTTGGAGCAATCCATACATTGGCACGAGTATTGAAATGAGATGGAAAATGTTCACGGAAATCAGTCCAATTTAAGCCATGTTCTTCGAGTGTTAACGCTTTGCCTCGTTCAAAATCTTCATCAGTTAGATAAGGTGGTCGCAATACTGATAGAATTGGATTACATCTAGTAAATGTAATCACTAAAAAAATTGAAAAAAAAAGTTTTATGTTTTCAAACTTATGAACTTTTATTAGAATTTTACCAAAATGGAAAAGAATACTTATAACAATAATAATCATCATAAGGCACTCTCTGCTGATTTTCGTGATAGAAAAATGAAATAGCAAAAGAAATAAGCTTTAGGTTATGTATTTTTCGTTCGTATCATATCATATTTCTATTTATTGTAAATTTCAATACGTATGTTTTTTTCGTAGCCAGTTGTCGACTTCAGCATATGGAACCTTAATATCCTTAATTCGTTTTAAATTGGTATATCAAGCTTTACTGCTACCGAAAAATTGTGTGATCATTATAGAAGCACATATTTGTTAATATGTGATCATACCTTTGTTTATTAGTTGGCATTGATTTATCCTTTATTTTCAAAAAACAAAAAATTACTATGCTTTCAGAAACATAATATTTTCCATTTTTTTATGAATAACTCCAAGTAGGGGGACGTTAGTCTTTGTCAAAGACAATCTATCAATCAAAGTACACGTGTCTTACATTACAATAAACTTATCGAAAATCATTAAAGTAACCCAGATCGACAATTACGGACTTCGTATACAACTGTAAACGACCGTATACGCTCCCTATATCACCGTATTTCGCCGTAAAAGATACGGCGATATCCGATCGTAATACTGGACCATGTATTTTCCCGTATACCGCCGTTTATGACCGTGCTTGTTCGACCTGGGAGGCAATTTCAACATTTTATCTTGTTGAGTTCAATTGATCAGTTGTCTTCAAAGTTAAATCTCAATAATAGGAGAATTTTTCTAAAACTTTGAGCCAAATTTAAAGACTCCCAAGTACCGGACATTTCTATAAATTAATCTATCAATTATAACATAGGTTCACGCCTTCCATTTCACTCTTTCGAATGGTGCAAACCATAAGGATCCTAACTACTTGAGTTCTGAAGTTATTCAAAAACCAACGAAGCACATCACGTCTACCAAGGAATGATATTTGTCCGAAACAAAAAAATTGAAGTAATGATCTCATGCAATAATCCTTGAACATTGAAGTGGAATAATCTAATAAAAAACTTTGATGAAAATTGAATCCCTTCAGAAATTATCAGAGCACAGCGAGTACGAGTACGTACTCGTAGTCGATAAAAACTCGAGTGTGGATGTGAATGAAATGAAGTCTCACATCCACCCACACTGTGGGTGAGAAGTTATTGTTATCTTCAAAATAACTCTCTCTGACATTTCTCACAAACTTTATATAGTTCATATTTAACTGTCTCCTACTGCTCAGAATTTTGCTCTCTTTCTGTTGGTATATAATATATTTCATTACATTCACCAGTTATAAAATGCTAGCCAGAGTTATTTTTAAAATAAGAATAACTTCACCCCCTACCCCACACCCACATCTCAAAGATTAAAAATCGTCTAGGTCAGAAGAAGTAAGTGTTATCAAGAAGAAGTACACAGAGAATATTACGTGAAGATATTGGTTCTTATCCATAGACGAACGCTCAGCCACTAAAGATTACAGATCTGCAAAACGACAAAAGAGTGAAGTAGTTGCATCAAAGACGATACCTAAAGATAGCTTTTTACCGACGAAAAAGTTTTGTTTTGAATGGGATATATAGTGCCCAAAACGTCCGAATATGTGCCGTAAACAGGGAAGCGACCAACAAGCAAAGTACTATTCGTGAAAAAAACAAAGTCCCATCAAATGTGATGGTGTGATTAGATGTGTATGGGGAAGAATTAACAGTGCGCTAGTACTTTTAGAAGATGAAACAATGGATGCAGAAAGATATATCAAGGATGTTCTTCCCAAATCTCTAGAATCTGGCAAAAAAATGCTAGGAAATAAATGGGCATATCATCAGGATGAGTGGTGTGCTGATAATTTTCCTCCATTCACTCCGAAGAACGGTTGGCATGTAACAACAAAAGCAACATTAATAAACAAAATAAAATTCTCCGTCAAAGATATTGACCAAGAAAACGTTTAAATTCTGTACTTGATTTCACTGTACGATTACGGTTAATAAAAAAAAAACAAAGAGTGTTTCAGCTAAGCGGATAATTCAAAAATAATTCAAAAATACTAAGACTGCAATTTATTCTGCATCACTCGATAAATGTTCGAAACTTCCATTTCATTCAAATGACATTTTTTGAACATTTAAGCTGCCAATTTCAATACGATCTGCTATCGAGAATAGTTTTATACAATTAGAATATTTTTGAAAAATATAAGACTGCTTAAAGAAAATCACAAATAAGAACATTGCTCGTTCAGTTTTCGACATACTGGAGCTAAATCAACAAAATAAATCAAGTGCTACGTCACATTAAATAGTTTTATTTAAACTTGAAGAAATTTTTATTAATAATACAAGTTCATAAAGTAAATGTGTCAAATTTGCCCTCTTTCACTATCGACAAAAAGTTCGATACCTGTGACATAATTGCTATCGTCCAAGGCAGGAAAAACCGTAGCTTTGGCCGTTTTATCGGGCATGCCGAACCGATTCATTGGTACAGTAGCTACTATATCGGTGATGAAAGTTGTCTTTATCCCTTCACCACTAGCCATACCTCTGAACATTGTTGTTTCGATCACTCCTGAATTCAGAGTATTGACTCGAATCTGGGTGTGAATGTGAATGTAGGTGTGGGTGGGAGTGTGAATGCGAATATGCGTGTGAGGGTTGGTGGAAATGTGAGCCACAACTAAGCACCCAAACTCACACACACACCTACATACACCCACGCTAACATCATCCATACGATCCACACCCTAAATTCTTGGAAATTTAAATTTATAATACATTAACAGAAAATCACCACCGATCATTGCTGCACCAACTGAAGTATGTTGAAATATTAAAGAATTATGGAGCACTGTTTAAACATACAGTAGATATCACAATTACTCAACTTGTAGATAATTTGATATTCTTTTGTGTATATATCTCAAAAACTGGATGAGCTAGAATCATCTTGTTTTCTCCAGACGACATCATACAGTTTCTAGTAGTAAAAATATTTCAGATCAACATATTGATCTGTTTAATTTTTATTGATGATAAAATCACAGCATACTGTTTTTCATCCTTCCAAAATGATCCCATCACTTATTTTTTTACACTATTGTGCACTTGTTCTAAGTTCAAATTTTCGTTATGATACATGATCCAATAGAACAAGTTATGCTCTACGTAATTCCTATAGTGTTTAGCTAATTTTATTGTTTCCTACATATCATTAACTAGAGCACAGCAAACTGGATGAGATCTTCATTTTGAATAGATATTTCATGTTGAGTAATTGTTTGAGCCGTCTCATATTTATATACCAGTCACAGATAAACGTTCTTGTACTGTCTTATTCACATTTCGAAGGAGGTAAGAGTTCTTTTCAACAGCTTGGATTTTTAGGGAATCTATTTCCATAGGAAACTCTTATACAATACCTTTGTTTCACTATGAATAGCAGAATTCAATAGCTTATCGTAGTACTATGTACATCTGTTGCTGGGACTGTGATAAGCTTTTTTATTCTTTCTATTTATATCGTAACAAGTGTAGAAGAGCTCGAGACATAATCTATTTTGATTTCAAATATAAGAGTTTCGTAATGAAATGGCTTTCCTATCAACCCATATTATTAAAACGACATTTGTCTTCTTCGATGCGTGAGTAAAATAATAGTAGATCGTCTCTGTGCGTATCTTCTAACTCTGTGTTCTCGAAATCATCGCAACAGAAAATGATAACTTTCAATGCATGTGATAGTAAGTAACAAAAAAAAAAAGAAAACTCGCAAAGAACTACATGTATGCTTTCCTTCGCATCTTAATAAATTCCTTAACATCCAAATATTCTATTTGACTAATAGTATTTATGGTATCAATTAATACAACAAATATACAATTATATTATAGTTTATTTTCTGTTACATTCGGTCGTTGTAATATCAGGACAGTTGCGAATAGTTGTTCTTCATTTAACGAGAAAACTTTCAATGAAATTTCTCAAATCGATTCCGTATATATATATATATGTATAGATGCTCTTATTTATTCTTAGAAAAATTTTCACATCGTTTTTTCCGTTGTTGTTTGACATGTTCTATACATTTGTTGTATTATTATACTAAAAATAAAAAACATTAATATCCATAATGGTAAAAATACAATCCAATATGGCATATCTGGTTCATATTGTAATTTAATACATAATAATATTTCAAATGCACATGATGATAATAGATTTAATAAATAATAAATTATTTTTAAACATTTTTCTTTTTTTTGTAGCCATTTTTTTATTAAAATTAAATATCCAATTATACATAATGATATCAAATTAAATATCCATATTGGTATAAATATTAAAAACCATGAAACATGTAACCATGTTTGATTTATTTTAAGTGTTATTGAAATAAGAAAATTTAATATACAAATAAATGATAGAAGTAAACGACAATTTAAACAACCATCAGCCATCTAGAGAAAAAGATTTCCCTTGTCTACTTTTGAGTCTTGTAAAAATTTGAAGAATTCCTTTTTTTTTTTTTTGTTTTTCTGTATGTGTATTTGTATGTATATCGAAAAAAAAAAGAGATGACACAAAAAAAAAGAAAAAACGCGAGAGAAACTTGTTGCTATGTCGTCTTCAACACGAAGAGAACTGATTAGAATGGCACATGGGACGAATGCGCGAACCCATTGCTTTTAACAATCGGGAAAAATGTCTGGAGAATAAAGAGCTAGTAAAATTGGGCAAAAGAAAAAAAGTAAACGATCGGTTAGAGAAGAGCAAACGAAACTGATGTATAGAGAAAGAAAAAAAAACACACACGCACAAGCAATACAAGAGAGCAAGACAATGTGTCACACGCCGTTATGAAGAGTGTATGAATAAAAAAAACCGAAATCTTTAAATAATAAGAGACAAAATCTATGCAATATGTTATCAATCGAATAGAACTATTTCAATTTTTGTTTTCTAACGTGTATAGTCGCGCATCGATTGTTGTTGATATTCGGATGATAGTGGAGCTTGCTGCTGCTGGGATAGATATGGATCCATTGGATATGGTTCTAAAAACAAGAAAAAGATTCCCAAAAAAAATTATAAAACAATACAAAAAAACGTACGTTTTGAAACGGAAGACCAATCACCAGTACTACCGATTGGTATAGGCAAATGACGTTTACGTTCGCTACCAATTGCAGCTGGTACCATTTTGTGGTCACCACTAGTACTTGTAGATGATGATGATGATGAAGAACCACTTGAATGATTACTATTAGCAATGATAACATTCGGATCAACAATCACTTGTGCTTGAACTGGTCCATTTATTGGATCAACTAATTATTAAAAACAAAACAATTCAATAAATGAAATTATAATAGTATAAGATGCTTTCGATGAACAAGATGGTTTATAAATGACTGAACGACAAAAAAAAGGTACTCAATATTTCCAGTCTGCTTGTATCAATTGAGACGGTTTTCTTCTTGGTGGTGATAGAGAATCCGTCAAAATGTTTATTTTCAAGAAAACAGCCAAAGGATGTTGTTAATAACTAGGATTATTGGTCGAAAGTATTTCTCTATGGCATCTACCGTTCTAAAAGCTGTTAATCTGAAGTTTTTAATATATGCACTATCTTACCAAGAAAAAAATCAGTCCGATTAATTAAATCAGACTCAAGATATTGATTTTTTTTATCATTTAGTCATTTATGAGCAATCCTCTATTTTAAAACTAATTTCTTTAGAATTTAGCAAGTATGACTGAAATTTTTTGAGGTAATAATATTAATGATAAAGCAAATTTACGAAATTCTACCTTATTTTCTTTTTTCTACTAAAAAAAACCTACCTGCAGTCAATGGTATATCATCACTGTTTGAAGTAGTTGGTTGTTGTATATTAATCGTCTCATAGACTGTTTTATTTACATTAGACGACAACGGAATAGTATTTGTTGGTGGTTGTGGTTGTTGTGTTCGTGATAGAAAATTTGTATAATAATAAGCAGCAACAAGTGCTGCTGCTTGATTTGGATCTTGTGGTAATTGTCCTTTCGATGCTAATATATTAGCTATTTGTAATGTTGTTGGTAATTGTGGTGGTGGTGGTATAAGAGGTTGTTGATTGGCATGTAAACGCCAAAAATGTAAAACTTGATTTTGTACATGTTGTTGCATTGCTTCCATATCGGCTTGTTGAAATGGACGTATAGGTGCTAGAACTTGTGGTGGTGCCATTGGCTGTGGTGGTGGCGGTGGCGGCGGATGTACTGGAGGATTTGTATTATTTGTGTATATTTGTTGTTGCTGTTGTTGCTGTTTTTGTTCCATCATACGAGCAATATTCATGATATTTGCTGATAATGGTCCATTTGATATAGGTGCTTGTGATGGTGGTGGTGGCATAAATGGAGGTGGTAAACGATTACAATGTTGAAATTCTGGGGCACTTGGATTGAGATTCGATCTACTACGTGACATATTAGCATAAGCTGAATTATTAAGCATTGGTGGTGTTGGTTGTTGTATTTGTTGATACATCGGAGTATTATTAGCTGATAATGTTCGATTAAATTTACTTCTCATTTGAAGTGGATTTTCATTAAATGTAACATCAGCTGTTGCTGGTATTTGTGTACGATGTGATCCAATAGGTCCAAATGGTTGTTGTTGTTGCTGTTGTTGTTCTAATGAATTAAATAATTGTTGTGGTTGAATAAATTGATGTGTTTGTTGTTTAATTGATGAAGGTGATGATGATGTTGATGATGTTGTTGATGAACCAGTTTGACCATTTTGATCAAGAAGTATTTTATTCATTGATGGTGATATTGATTGTTGATGTCTATTAGCACCTGGTGCACGTATTAATTGTGATGTTGGAGATATCGAATCAAAATTTCTTGTACGAATTATTTGTTGTTGATGATGTATTGGTGTTGTACCAGCACTTGATGGTCCACGATAGCCAGGAGCAATTTTAGGATCTGGTGGTGGTGATAATGATTCATCCATTGTTATAACAATTGATTCATGATGAGATGATTTTATTGGTACATTCATTTTTGCAACATTAGCAAAATTCATTTTTGTTGTTGAATTAGAATTTGTTTCATCAATAGATGTTATTGATTCTTTAGTTTTAGTTAAAACATCAACAATTGATGTTGTTAGAATATTCGATGCAAATGGATTATATTCACCAGCTGCTGTTACATTAGTTGGAGTTGGTGTTGTTGATGAAGTAACAAGTAAAGTAGATGATGAAGATGATGATGATGGTGTTAATGATGAAATAGATTCAGATGATGTCGATGAAATAGTTGGTACTGTTGAAGATGGTTGTACTGGAATTCTATGACCTGGTTGAGATGGAACAACTGAATTTGGTGATGAATGAACTGTTATTGTTGTTGTTGTTGTTGTTTCAGATGGTGTTGAATGTTCACCTTTTTGATAATAATTTGTTGAATAATGTTTATTAGATGATATTATTTGTTTATTTGATGAATGTCCATAATGATTATGATTATTTATTGAATTATTAACATTTGAATATGAATAATGATAAGATGATGAAGTATTTGTTTGATTTGTTGAATAATGATTTGTATTTGATAATTTATTATGATTTAAAGATGTTTTTGATGATAATTGTTGATGATTCCATACTGTTGTTGAATTTAATATATTTGATGGCGTAGAATTTGTTGTTACAGATGATATTGTACCACGATTTGTTCTATTCGAATTAACCCATGTTGCACCAGTAGTTGTTAATGGTTGAGAATTTTTAATTGTTGATGATGATATTAAACGATTGGAAATATTTGAAGAATTTGTTGTTGCAAGTTTTTTAGTTGACACATTCGATATACGAGTACTATTTACTGTTGGTTTAGATGATGTAGTTAATACATGAGTATCTGATACGGAAGATTCTAGAAATAGAAATGTTGTCATATGATCGAAATGAACACATTTTGTCTATTGTATTTGATTCCTTGGATAAAACGAAGACTTCTCGAATTTAGTTTGGCGAAACTGTAGACTGTCTGCGAAAAAGTTTTTATTTCCGTATTTCACTTCCAGTTCCTTTTTGTATTTCAAAGAACGTGTTATTCAGAGGAACTCAGATTTTATCGATTAGAATTATTTTCATTGCGGACTGTCAGAGAAAAGGTATTACATCAGGAACGAAATTTATGACGTTCTAGCTCAGTTTTTCATGCTGATGCCGAGTATGACATGTCATTTTTATTTTCCAAAATCTCGGTCTGATGTGATATTTTTTTTGTTGAAAATTTTATATGAATCTTTTAAAGTGTAAAGTTCTCTACAATCTACGTATACTATGTTAAAGTTTTCTATTCTATATTCAGAGCTCTATAAAATAGCTTTTATGAAAAACAACGATGTTGATTTCAACTTTATGATAATAATTCTCGATAAAATGACGAGATTTTTTCTGTAAGAAAAATTTATTTTACCAGTATTTTGTATTCTTGCTCCATAATTTGTACTATTTGTTCTTGGTACTTTATTTATTTCATCATTATTGTGTTCATTATTAGATGTAATTGTTGTTGACCGTGATTTCGCTTTATTTTCATTACTTGATGGTAATAGATTCATTAATTCCGATTCAGAATTTTTCAACAATGCCATTATTAATTGATAAGCATGTTTTATTGAATCACCATTACCTCTATTAAATAAGAAAAACAATGTTTTGTTTTGTTTTTTTGTATTAAAAAATAATAATTAAATAAAACAAACATACTTAATTAAAATAGTTTTATCACCAATAGCTTTTTTATTTTCAACATCAATCGATGCACCAGTTACTTCACGTAAAACATTTAAATTTGAACCACTTCGTCCAATAATACGTGAATATTGTTCATGTGGTATTGTAATTTTTTTTTGTTTACCAATAACTTCTTGCCAACCATCATCTACATTTGGTAACGATATTCCACTTACTGTTGTTGGAGTTATTTCTGGTTGTTTATTTTTTGATGCAAGATTTTCTTGATGACGTTCAATTTTACGTGTCATTGTATTTGTTTTCTTTTTATTATTATTATTATTTATAGGTTGTTTAGATACAATTACGGATGGTGATGGTTGTTCAGGTAAAAGAGCTTTTTTTGTTGTCTGTTCCTGATCTGTTTTAACCATTTTAAGTCGAAGATCATCATCAACAACAAGAGTTGTTGTTGATAATGATGAAGGATTTTCTTGATGAATTAGTTCTTCATTTTCATTATGTTCTTCTTCTTCATGTTCTTCTTCCTGCTGCTGTTGCTGTTGTTGTTGTTGTTCATCAGCTTTTACAGATGTTGTTGTTGTTGATTCAGTTGTATTTGATTTTTGTTTACCTTTTTTTTTAGCTTTACGTTTTTCACGCTTTTTTGCAGCAGCTACTTTCCGAGTCTCTTCACGAGATTTTTCTAAATCAATTTCTTTTAATAAACTATTAGCAGCTTTATTTGCTTCAGCTGCTTGTCGTTCTTTAGCTGATATTATTTGATCCATACATGTTTGACATCTTTTTAGCAGATCCTTTAAAAAACAATTAATTAATAAATAAAAGAAAATAAATTGAAATTCGTTTTTCTTTTTGTTTACCTTGTCAGTTATTGTACTTATTAAACGACGACAATCAGCATCGGATGGAAATTGTCGAACTTGACGAACTAAATATTTAACTACTTTACAATGTCCTTTACGAAAAGCAGCCATAAGACAAGAAACTTTTCGTGAATCACTTGAATCTGGATTAGCAAAACGTGTTACAAGTAATTGAACAACTTCTAAATGACCATTATTACAAGCAAGCCATAATGGTGTGGCACCTTTTTTATTTCGAACATCAATAGTGGCACCATAAAGAAGAAGTAATTCAACAAATTTATGATGACCTTTATCAGCAGCAATTGTTAAAGCTAAATAGAAGATAAATTTATATTAGAATTATTTGCAAATTAACTTTTAATAAAAATTAAGAATTTAATGTGATGATATAAAGAAATTCTTTGAGTGTAACGAGGAAAGTTCTGAATTGATTAATCACTTTTCAAATCTTAAAAAGAGCTCGATTTCTTAGCTTAATGAATGTCATGGTTCTCCTTAGAAGCATCCAGAAAACTTATTTTTCAATTTCGATTTGAAACTTTGTATAGAAATAAGCTTTAAAAAGAATAGTTAATTGTAAAAGTATCAGATCCATTTGAACTATTCTTATCTTGAAATAAGAACATTGAATCTGTGGGTACATATGAGTGGTGGTAAAATACACATTTTACCATTGCTGTATCTTAGAATTTTAAAGGACTTCTGTCTTAAGAATTGTTCTGGTACATGGATATTTATTTAGTTTCTATAATATCCTATGAAAAGTTTTTTCAATAATTTAGTCGATTGAATACCTAGACGTATTCTGAGTTTAAGGGTTAAAAATCCCAAAAGTTTTCGTTACATACTGCTAGAATGGCATTATACAGTATGTTTTTTTTTGTTTTGTTTTATCCTACGAATTTTCTGCTTATGAAATTGAAAACTAGGTTATTCTCGTAGATTTCTATATAATACTCGAGAAATCAAGATAGACTTGATTGAAAATGCCTCAATCTTATTCCTTTCATATTCAAGAAAAAAGATAGAATTCTAATGATTCTCAATTCAATCAAAAACTATTAACTATAGTTAAAAACTCTTTCTAATATTCGCATTCTTTCCAATCAAACACTATTACTATTGTCTAATATTAGTGCTCATTCCTAGAGAAACTTGCATGGATGGACTATAGATTACCTAATATAGAAAGCTGCTTATATATATATGTTAAATGTGATCATTTGTCTAATTAGATCTAACATACCATTAGGATATATATAGTTTATTTTTTTAACATCTGGTTACATACCAGTATCTTTTGATGTTGGTACCGGTGGTGCATTAACATCAGCACCTCGTTCTAATAGAACTCGACCAACATCCACATAACCACCCGATGCTATTGAAAAAAAAAAGAATTATGTTTTTTCATATTAAAAAATTTAAGTTTTTGTCTACCAGATTCCATTAGAGGTGTTAAACCAGTTTTTGCTCTATGTTCAATATTTGCTTTTCGATCAACTAATAATGAAACAACTTCAGCTCGTCCTTGAAAACAAGCTAATGTTAATGCAGTATTGCGATTTGTTTCAATCTGAGCATTTATATCAGAACCCATATCTAATAGAAGTTTAACAGCAGCTACATGTCCATTCATCGAAGCAAGCATTAATGGCTAAAGGTAAAAATGTTTTTTTCTTTTTTTCTATTATAAATTCTTCAATTAATACTTACAGTTATTCCTAATTTACTACCAGTTCTATATAGGAGAAAAGTAAAGAAAAATAATAATAATTAATAAATAAATAAATAAACTAACCTTGAATTAATTTCTGCACCATAATTTAATAATAATCTTATTATATTCACATATCCACCAGAAGCAGCAAGACTCAAAGCTAAATAGAAAATAAAATTCTAATATGTGATTACAAAGCTATTTGTTCACTGTTAATGTATTTCTGGACGAATCAAAAACTACGAATTTATACTTTTCTCGACTGTAGACTTTGAAATTTTGTTCGAGAATAGTAAAATAATCTTTGAAAAGGATAGAAAATTTCTTTATTTTCATCATAGCGATTCGAAACTAAACTTTTGGTGATCTTTATTTCTAAATCAAAAGGTTTCCTACAAAATACACTATTTTTTGTTTATCTTAAATATTCATTGTTGAAAAATTGACAACTAATTTACATTGAAATGATCTCTTGAAAACATACTTAAGTAAATGCTATACCTTAATGCAATATAATATTTTGTAAAGAAATATTCGATATACCATTGAAAATAACTTTTTCAAAAAGTCTATCATTACTTGGAAACATCAACCCATAAGTTCCGTCCAAACGAATTTTTAAAGATTATTTCACTACTCTTCGATTAAATTTCTAAGTTCATATTCTAAATAGCTTTTAAATCGTTCGAAATACTCTCTAGCAGACTTAAAATGAATAAACATCTTGTACGAAAAACTTTTCGATCATCCATTATATATCAATTAAAATCTTACCAGTATAATCTGAAACATTTCTATGTTCACGATTGGCTCCTTTCTTCAACAAAACTTCAACAACTTCTTGTCTTCCACCACTACACGCTAATGATAATGCTGTATCTTTTGTTCTTTCTGATTGAGCTTCAATATTGGCACCATTTTCAAGTAATCGTGCTACAATATTAGCATGACCAGCAGTAGCTATGAAACAAAGGAAAAAAAAAGAATAATTATGTATTATGATAAAAATAAAAGAAATAGAAAAGTACCAGCAAGTATCAAAGGTGTAAAACCTTTCTTATCACGATGTTCAATATTTGCACCACGTTGTAAAAGTAATGTAACAAGTTCTTCATGACCACCAGCACATGATAATGTTAATGCTGTATCATGATTAGATTCAGTTTCACAATCAACATCTATTCGATTTTGAAAATGTAAATGAGATAATGTTGTATTAGGTGTTGCATTTGAAATATTTATTGATTGTGATGGACATTCAGCACAACAAATAGAATGTTGAGAATTTGCTATATTAGATAATGATGGTGGACGATCATTTACTGATAATGCATGATGATTATCCTCTTTATTTGAACTTCGTGTTGTAGATGAAACGGTAAATGCCTGTTGTGTTTGTTGTTGAGATGAGACTTGATTGGAAGGTGTCACTGTTTGTACTGTTGTATCAGATTGAGAATGGATAACTGCTTCCATGTGTGTAATTGCTTTAGAAGAAGAAAAAAAATGATATATTATTTTTCCGAAAAACATATTTTTCAAGTTTTGAAAAACCTCAGAGCAGTTCTATTTTTATCCGGGATGATTGTATATATGAGTCCGATTGACATTGATTCGTCGTGCTGAACAAAACTTCCAATAGGCCGAAATAAACAGTCCAGTGCATAGACTCAAAGATGTTGACAATAAAAATCATCAATTGAATCAAACGTATATATGCCTTTCTGTGAAGAATACTCATGACTAATCATATACAGACTCCGTATCCTTTGTCCTGGGATTTGTCTAGATTTAGATGCTATTACGCAGTGGGTATTTTTTGCATGGCAAATGGACATGTAACTATCGTTCTCGGCAGAAAACACCTGATAACCCACGCCTATATTATTTCGAAAGAAGCTTTTGCTAAGAAAATATTTTGTGTCATAAATTGTCTGATGTAGTTTCGTGCACTAATTCCAAACATATTCAAATGAAAAAATTTCTTCAATGCTCGATACTAGACGACTAACAATAATTCTTCCTATACAGTTTTCCTGTTCATAAAGAAATGTCTGTTATAAAAAACTTGTGGTA